GAAAGAGAAAGATCTTCGAAGTAGTTGCGGTGAAACGGACAAAAAGTAATATTAAAGGCAGGAAGAAAGTTATATGGCCAGTGCAATACGGTTTTCTCTGTTACATGAATAAGTCGCCAGTAAATACATCCTCTTTGAACTCACTTCCCACGTTACAAACTCATTACCGTACTCTAGCAGCCCACTCTATTTAAAGCATTCAGAATGCTCCAGAAAAGCTACACGTCTGACACCAAAACGGTGCCTCGGTGAACAACTGCTTCAGGCATGATCTAACCATAGGTGGATAGCCATAATTAAAAATCGTTGCGAATCTTGCTATGGATTCAAAGTGATTGCAGATTTCCTAAATCTGAAATAATCTATTGTAATGATTAAATGTTAAAAAAATCTATATCAGTACACATATACTAATTTCGAAAGTTCATTTTGATTTTATGCCATGAACTCGTAAATCTTTTAAGTTTGCCATTCACTGGTTTCTGACGCAAGGCAGAGGCTGATGTTACGAAACCCTTAATATGCAGTTGTCAACAGCGGCCTTCTTTAAAACAGAAAACTGGCACAACTTTTTTTTTTGACTTATGCTCATGAACTTTAACAGAAATCTTATTTAGAAGAATACCTACTACTTTAAAATGAATCTATTTCTTTCTGCTTCATCGTTAGGCATGTACTTCTATGACAAACGTGAGAAGACGCCCATACTTCGCATCGTTCATCGCGCGGTATCGGGATTAATTTAGCAGTTGACCATAAAATTTGTAAATTTCATGTGTAGCGAACATTCTCGTTGCGTATAATCCATATATGCTTATTAATTTTTATAGTCCCTCCAAATTCATAAACAGTAGTTCCGCAGATTTAGCTTCGCAGGCGGCGGATGAACCAACTCTCAGCGGCCGCCAACGCATGATTTCGATCGCCATCGTTGATTGGGTGCTGTTCTCGATCGCCTTGCAGTACTCAATTTACTTCGCTTCCTTGTGGCCCTATTTGTCACAGGCAAGAAAATTTTTTTGTTTTTCTTTCCGTTTTAATACACGTAAATTTTTACCTGTTTGTTATACTAAAACATTGACACTCTGGTTCATCCTCTCGGCATACTAATACAGAAAAAGACGTCAGTTGGTCATTTGAAATACATATACAAAGTCCAAGACGAAAAATCTTTTTTCCTCATTTCCTTATGAGTATATGCTCTTCATCATTGTATAAATAACTTTCATGTCGTTATTTACGTCTTCAATGTTATCTCATTTGTCGTATATGCTGTATTCATAACCGCGTTATCACCATCACCATTACCGTTATCATTAATGTTTAGAGTTTCCGATCCTCTTCACAGCTATTCTTCCTTTGTCCTCATTTTCTCTGTTCTCTCACAACTTTTTATAATCTCTGTTATCGTTTTCGACCCTCATCATGTCATTGAAGGTTCTTTAGATCGACCATGAAACGACGGAGAAATTCTTTGGCTGGGTGATCGCCATCTACTGCGTTGGGCAGATTGTTGCATCTCCCATCTACGGCTACTGGAGCAACCACGCAAAGTCGCTGCGTTTCGCTGCTGTCACCGCCGTTCTGTTCGGTATCGTCGGCAATCTGATCTTCATTCTGGCCGAAAATTTTCCAACCAACCGTCGGTTCGTTTTACTAGGCGCCAGAGTGGTTATGGGCTTATCTTCCGGTAAACATTCTTCAATATCGAAGATGCAAATGCAGACGCAGTCTTTTATTCTGGCAGTGCTTCAGTAAGAAGTACTGTCAGAAAGTTTAAAATAAAAATCTTTATCGGGCTGTCTGTCAAAGGATGGTAATTCGCATTTTTTAATTGTTCATTCTTTGCCTTCCATGACTGAGAGGTCTGATGCCGCGTTTCTTTACGATCATGAGATCACAATTCCAATCTGAAGCTTCCAGGTTTGTGAGAGGATTGGCACAAATGTACGTTTTGAATATCTGTGGCTACCTCGTACATTTTCAGACATCGATTTGTGTACAAGCATTCGCCAATTTGCCCAAACGACTGTAAGTGCCATTGATTAGTCAGAGGGCTTCGTAATCTATGGTTCTTTCTAGCTCTGTTTCACGGAATTTATTCATTCTGACTGTAAGCGGCAAGTGTTTTTGTCTGACAGCAACTGGACACATGATTCGTGCTTTTCATCATTCAATAGATCGCCGTTTTTCAGTAGTGTAATACTTTGCCTCATAGTCAGTCTAGAACGGCATTTATTAGACCGAATATGATACACTACTCTTCAAGCCCTCTTGACCACTCTTCCCACAATGCTCACGTCTGTATTCTAAAGATCAAACAGTTACCAGAGTGCTAGTCTTCTGCAGGACATGTCCTAAGTTACGAAGCGTGCGCCTAAGGAAGCAGTACCTCCATGACGTTCACTCTGCAGAAATTTAAGGCAGATCTCTCGGGCAAAATGTTATCGTCTCTGTAAATCCTCTTGAAATTTTTGAGGGGCACTGCTGTATTTTTTCACAATCAGTGCCCAGTGATGCTTCTTACCGTTTACTCTCTGTTAACTTAAACTAGTTAGTCTGAGGGCTCTAATTGGCCATAATTTTTATTTTGCTGCATTTCATAGTTATAACCCAGCTTTCGTTAAGCATATATTTTACTTCGAAGTTCCTTGGCTTTGTGTAATGTATGATTCGCAGGCTTGAACGGTAGCTGTCGAAGTTACGTTGCAACATCGAGTACGAAGAAGGAACGGTCAAGAGCCATATCCATTGCCACTGCATGCATGTCAATCGGCTTCATCGCTGGACCAGGTATCGAAAGAACCAATACGGTCGTGAACTCTTAGTCGCGTTTATCTTTTAGGCATTCAAGCATTGGTTGCTTTCGTCGGTTACCCCGGCCATTACGTTGGCCCCTTTCACATCAACATGTACACGATGCCGGCCATTCTGTTAATGATGGCCAATGCCGTGTCCGTTGTACTGATGCTGACCATGTTCAAGGACGATTATACGGGCATCAAGGAATCCAGATCCGAGAGTACTCAAGTTTTTGTTTCTCGTTTGCAGTATGTATATTTTCGAACTTTTGACTTACAGATCACTTTGTCGTCGTTCCCAAATTCAAGATTTCAGCGGTGATTGTGCTTTGCTGGTGCTGGTTTTGCACATTCTTCACCATGACGAACATCGAAGCGTAGGTCTTTGCTTATTGGCCATTTGAAAGTTGTGGTTATTGTATAAAAACGTTCATAATGTAACGAGACGAGGAAAATCTTCCGGTGAAGATCTACCTTAGAAGGAGATAGAAATACAATAGTGATAACTGGTGCACGTCCAGTTCTCTAGCTCTTTCAGCTATGCTTCCAGCCGGCTTGCGACTGAGTTAATTTCCACTTTGATGTCAGCACGTAGCAACGCTTTATGTTTTTAAGGCCATGTCTACCCCTACTTGGAAAGCGCTTATTTATGCTACTACTTTCTCTGCATGCCTTCCACACGTCATAAATGTTATGCATGTAATGCCCTTATTGCTCAGGCTCAAACGTCAATCCAATCACCTAAAATCTGCCTCTGTCAACGACGAAGGCCATGACCTATTCCGGATGCAGATGTCTACCGTAGAGGTGGAATTTAAGAAAAGGAGATTGGCCCTGTTAGACCAACTGCTTTTGTATACACCATTTTCTCCGTTCCGTAAACTGCTAGCGTGGGAGCCGAAACACGGCACACCTCGACAAGGAACCCAGCATGCAGCTTGGAAAAACAAAGTAGAGGTACATACTTGTGGAAAAATATATATATTCCTTCTGCGATGCAATAACCGATGCCGCGTAGCAGAAGTGTCGACAAGTTGTGAATGCATCGGACGTCACAAACCAAAGCCGTTTAACTTACGCACAAGGCTCAAGGAGATGATTATATAAATGGCAATAAGCACTGAGTTCGCCATAACTGAACGAATTTAACTTACACAGTGCTCGTTTCCGTATCATGCCTGAGTAATTCACAGTGGATGGTGAATTTTGCTTGGTAGAACATCGCAGATCAGGCAAATACTTAATTTTAAAAAATTTCCCTAAATATAAGAAGTTTAAGATTCGAAGTAACCCTTGCTTTTGATACGTATTGCCAAACGCCATCAGCTCCGTTTGTTATTCCCGATTTTCTTATTACGCGCACGTAACCTGTAGCCCGGATCAGGGTTGTTCAGTCGAAAAGTGCCGGGTTTGAGCCCCGGAAAGGTCAGTTATCTTTCTTCCTTGAGAAGTAGGTAAATGACTTGCACTGATGGCACGGAAATGTAGATCAGCGTTGCACAGTAAGTTCCATGAAGTGAAAGTCTTCACAAATGACCTTCAGTGATGAAATATTTGAGGCAGTCGGACATCCCAACGGTTACAAACTGTTTTTCCCTGTGGACAGACTACCCGTTTTGCCACTAAATAGCACTTAAGCTTAAGTTGACCTAATCTAGTCGATGGTCCTTTAAAATAAAAACTTCTGCATTATACTATCTGTAATCGGCTTGGTACTGTCTCACAGTATTAATGGCTAAATGTCGAAACCAATAGTTTTAAGACACCATTACCATCAGCGTACGAACTTTCCTAAACCAAACTTTCGCTGGGCCTCTTGTTTTCAAATTTGCTTGTTTGCTGTTATTTTAAAGTAATAGTTTTCTATAGAGCGGATGAGATTTCGTACAACATCAGAATTTAGTGTTCTACTGTACTTCGTTGCAGTGATCCTATGACGACTTTTGTTAGAGAAGTATTTAGTATCCGTGGCGCTTAATTATGATACCTTGAACTGCTCTGCCCGTTATAGTTTTATAATGTAATTAATTCAGACGCCGTTGACATAAAATCGCACTGTTGGTAGTATCTGACTGAGGCATCTGCATGCCACTGAGCGCTGCATTCTACTCTGTTGTTCACTATAATATGTAGTCTATCGTCTTGGCAGATTATTTTTAGTCTATGTATAATAGCATATAATGCTCATTCAATAGATGCTATGCATAGTATCCACTGTTATGAAAGTTTATTGCACAACAGGTGTAATTTTAATCACTGGAATATGAGCACTATGTACAAATGTGAACGCCAAGTACTACGAGCAATACGTACTGACAATAACTGAATAACTGAGTCGTCAACGCTGTGCTCACGGTACCTAATACAGTAAAACTGCGCATATTAAGAATACTCCTGTGGTACGTATTGTACACTGAGCAGATATATGACGTATCGCTATGAATGATTAACATATAATACATATAAAGCATTACGTGTATTATATGCAAAAAACCTGGCTAACCTGAATCTCGCTAATTCGAAATTTCTTCTTACATTTTAGTCGTATAAACTAGTTTTATACATACTTATCTGGATAATTCCAAACCTTGGTAACCCTTACTGGTAAAAAATTTTGTCCTATACTCGTGATATTACTGTACTTGATTCTAAATAATTTTAGGTGAAATTTAACGAAAATAATTATCGTAAAATTATGCGCTTCATAAAGTGCATAGTTGGTAATGTTGATAATCTTAACATTTCTGTTATTTTTTCTGCTACAAATTAATTTTTTGCTAAAATTTAATTTCAGCAAATCTGCAGGAACTGGATTCAATGCCATACAGTTAAAGTAACGCATTTTTATACGTCGTATTTTTTTTAAGAATGTCGACTTAATCGGTTATTGGATAGCGGTCATTTACCTGAACAGTGGGTGTATTATGTACACTCCTTCAGAACAGCATGTAATGTTGATCATAACTAGTAAATGAATATTTTGCTGTTGTACATCTGGATTCTAAGTATTATATAATGAGCAGTAGAATATGGGTACATATTAGATGCTGTAAACTTGAAGTCAAAGATATATTAAATCATTGCGGTTAATACGGTTTGTATGATTTTACATATGCAATATCGTTTGTTGCAGAATATATGATACTACTCTTATATGCAATATGATAAATTGTCTTCCTACATTAGGCATTGCTGGCTTTAGCTGGGTAAAAAAGGATCAAAAGTCTTGGAAAGGCCTTCCTCCAGCAGTGGATCGAGAAAGGCTACTCATTTGCTGCAGAAGAGTCAAGCACGGCAGTGCATAATATTCTCAGCGTTTGGGGAATGCTCATTGTATCCTGCTAAGCACTACTCCAATATTTACAATAACAGTATGTGCAATGGCATGTACTGTTCATGTGACAGACACTGTGATTATTAGAGACATTCTGCGCTATCATTTTGCGCCTTGTGCTCTTGAACACTACATGCTACTCTGGTGTTAACAGGAGTGTTCAGTGCTTAATCAGTTTTTCTGTGTTATACCTGAGTACATTGCGCTAATTATGTATTAATGATTTAATGTATTACGTAGGTTTCGTTTTGTCGCAGCTGAACTAGTACCAGATTATTCCGATCCAATAGTAGTATGGATAGTACTTGTTTATTGTATTCAAATTTTCACATATTTGATTGTATGCATTACACCAACTATTTCTTTATCGTTATTGCAGGACGTAGCGTTCATTTTATGCAGTGTGCGAAAAACTATGTGCTGCTGAACTTGGCCTCATCCTCTCAGTAATGTACAATGGATTTCGGGTTATAACATTCATGTACCTGACGTAATTGTACGCTTTACAGATATATGCTATACATATATTGTTCATTCATACCGGCGCATAATATATCTGCTCAGCAAACACTGTATGATGCTCTGATTCCCAGTTTTCCTACTATTCCTGTATTAAACACTGTCAAGTATAACCTCGAGGATATATTATTTATTATTGGCATTACATTATTCTCGTAGTACCTCATAAATGGATGCTTCATAGTGCTTTGCGTAGGAACTTCACTACTGTACACATTAGTACGTGTTAGTCATGTCTGACAGTGGACATAAAAATTTCATCTTTTGCGTAATACGTGTTCATGACACTATAAAGTAGACATAACATCTAATCAAAGAACACTATGCTAATGTTCATAGCTTCATGAACTAGTATTCAATTAGTGCTCAAAGAAGTCACTATGTCGTACTCCACTACTTTTGCATTATATCGCAGAAGCATATTTTAGTATAAGTACTGGCCTATTATAAATCTGCATATTATGCACATGAACATTCATGCTCTGCTCCATAAAGTATGTATTAGTTCAGTGCTCATACGAGTATATAATGGTGTGGTATGTGCAGAGCAGTGCACTGCTGTATAGAATCTTTGCCGCATCGAGCAAAAGCGTAGATATAAAATAGACATAATGTTCAATATCTGACATTAGGTACCGAGCAGCTTCGCATAATTTTCTGGTGCTGTCGTTAATATGGAGTAAAATATACCGTTTTCTTGTATCTGACATTGAACGTTTTATTAATTGTATACTAATCATTCATCTAAGCATTCAGTGGTAATTTGCTTCAGTATTCATAGCAAGTGAGAGTTAATGCAATATCACTACAGTATAAAATATTCCGGTGCCGACAGATCACACAATACATAACACTATATGTCCACATGAATACTGGATTAGTACGTGTTATGTATAGCACATTACGTATATAACATCAGCAGCATTCATGTACGTAGTACTATGCAGATTTATAATATTCCGTTACTCATATGAAGATAGCATGAACTCTGTGCGTATAGATTGTTCTTTACGATAAATGAATGATGCTAGCGTTCTTTGAGTAAAAATTTAAAAATAATATAGGGTTGGCTCCCCTTTCGGAATGGCGATGTTCAACTGGACAAGAAAAGAAGCGACGGTCTATGGTAGCATTCTCATGGGCGTTTCATCAATTCTGTCATTACTAATCTATATACTGTATGCCTGGAAAGGTCGAAAGTAACTTTGTCTACCGCAGTGCTCACTTTTGGTTATGTGAATAATAATTTAGAATTGAAAATCGAGTATCGATCATATGCGGCCTAATTCTCACCTGTCTGTTCTTCGTATTGACGTTCCCCTACCCATTTTGGTCTGGCAAACTTCACTACAAATCAGTCGGTGAGTTACTTTTCGTTGAATTACACACGGTGCATCTGCCATGGAAAGAACTTTCCTGTACGAAATTTAAATCCTTGCATTCATATTCTTGTCGTCCGCTTAAGAAAACATAAGGTAAATTTCTCGTGTCTGTTTCGTCACAGTTCACTGTTAGCGGTATTCTAGGAGATCGACTTTTCGACTTTTCAGATATTAGAAGCAGATCAGTCGTCCCTATCTGACGTTTTGAACATTGGTAAAAGCTACAGTATCCAAGCAGTCTCTCATTTTAATGCGCATCCTGAACATCCGTAGTTAATCGCTGAAGCTGTTAACACAGGCTATCATACCAGAATAGGGTGGGACTGGCGATGTCTGGTCTGCCCTCTATACTTTCAGAAAGAAGTTTATACGTCACTAGCTGCTCTCAGATAGAAGTATCCTCTGACTAA